AAAAAAAAAACTCAAGAATAAACGATGCGTTTTTTCTAATCGAACCGTTTCGTATTTAACGATTTTTGTAATACGTGAACGTTACTATAATGCTAAGTTGTGTTTCAATCGAATATTTATGCCTCGGATATATACACATTATATACATACGTATATGCCATTGAATACAATCGAGCGAGCGACCGAGCAAGAAAGAGAGCGGGAGAGAGAGAGAGAGACAGAGAGAGAGAGAAATTGGAAAGGAAGAGAGAGAGAGAGAGAGTGAAAGAAGACATGTCGAACAACACAGCTTTTGCAATCTATAAATTTTCGTCATTCATTTTACATTTTTTTCTTCTTTTTTCTCCTTGTTCTTTTCGTTTCGTTTCTCTTTTCTTTTCCTTTTCTTGCAACAGTTATATACACAACAGTTACGTTTTTATTGCGATATTTCGTTGCAACGAATACATATTGGGCGTGTTGAAACTTATGAGCGAGGAGCCAAGAACCGCGAGAAACTGGATGATTATCTATTTTCTGCGAGGCACAATCTGCTCGTGACAGGATTTCTTCAAGTTTGCTTCTTTACGTGTGAATCACGTCGTTTCGTCCGCAAGCGATTAATACAAGAGCAAAAGAAAGGAAAGAGAAGAAGCTGTTATTCTTACGTTCATTCTCTTCCGTGATTAGCTTTTCCATCGACGAGAATAACAAGAAATGAGAAACGGAATAGAGAGGGGAAACAAATCGATCGAACGATGTTTTAAAGTCCTCGATGTTAAAAAGAGGTCCACGAGCAGCTTGTGTTGATAGAGAGAAAGAGAGATTTAAACCAAGAAAGAGAGAACTGTACGGACTAAAGAGAAAAAGAAATTAACATTGTGATGTTTACTGATCAAATATGTCAAAAGAGAAAAAAAAAAATGAAAAAAAAGAAAAAAAAATGAAAAATGAAAAAGGCCCACTGGTTGAGGCCCGACATTTCCGAGTACACTATAAATAATAAACATTATGTAAAATTTACACAAGATTTGTCCCTTCTTCCCCCCCCCCCGTACGTAACATATGTAAACTGCGATTTCGCTACAATTCACGAACAACTGAACAATACCTCTGCTTGCATGATTATTTTAGTGATAATTTGCACGTACACACGTGCCGTACCATCAACATCTGTATCTACTCTGCGATGTCGTATTCGTAAAGTTCAATTCATCAGTTGATTAAGATTTTTATCAATTTCTATTGAGGTATAAATTTATTTAAAACACGTCGAAAAGATCGTCATATAATTTTATGAGGGAAATCTCTTTTGTTTCGTACATCGTTCGAGGTTTGCAGTAGGAGACAGTAGCGCTAATCGCATTTCTTGGCAAATTCTAACGGACTGCATATGTTGCTGGATGTGATTGGCGCGTCATTCGAAATAACGCAGCACGCTCTGACCAATCAGGTATGATTTTACTCACGGACAAGAAGATATCCGCTCACCTCGCGTGCGAGACTCGTAGCGATGGAATCGAGCACATTGCGAATCTAACTCCAATCCAAACTTTCTGTTCATACTTTGAGAAGAAAAGAATTTCGAATTTATCCTACGACGTAGAACTGCAATTGCAAGAAACACACCTAGGTGTCGAGAATAATCGAATCTCAACTGCGCAGGTAAGGCCAACATAACGAGCTCGAATTACTATTCGCGAGTAAATTACCAGATCAGATATTCGTTCACGTTGCGACAATTCTAACGCGTTTCAAATTGCAGGATAAGAAATGAAACTTTCCCATTGAAGTCGACTTTGACTTTCGGTATGCAGGCATTGGACTTGAGTCCATCACTAGGCAGCAATGCATCGATCAGACGCGGCTGCGCACAGCCGGAAAATGGTTAGGCGGCCATTATCACGTTCAATTTGCTTGAAGTTGGCCACGAATCTTACTCACCTACCAGCGTTCTTGATTCGTTTAATGCTGTCTTGCAAACAAACGCGACATGATCGTCCGTACGGTGTTTAAATAAAATGGAATCAAATGCAATCTTTTAATTATTTCCGTAGACACAGAGAATGATAATTGTGATTGTTAAACTTTGCTGTTGTCGTACATTTTCAACACACGGTGGATCGAGTTTCATTTGATTAAGCGACAAGTAAAATTTGAAATTTTATTACGTCCCTTAAGAGTACCGTGCTATTAAATTATCTCCGTCTGTGACGATCTCTTGACCGATCGTATCGAATAGTTTTCTACTGCGTTACTCTATGAAATTCAACGGACAATAGGAAACGAGTAGGGATCGAATGAATTCTCCATTGACCGATCCCATTGATACGTTTCGAAACACGAGCATGCGTTCTACCGAGCTCGTGTTCAGTTCGCAATCGCGAGAATTGAGCTCGTGCAACTTCAGAACAGTGCAACGAGAGGAGGTGATACGCAAGCGTCGCGCATACATGCACACGCACGCACGTACGTGCGTGAGCTGTACCTAACGAGCGATCGTTAGAGGCTTATTGTTAGAGTCTCTGCGGATTTTACTGGCGCGTAAACCATTCTCGCCAGACCAGACCAGACCAGAGTGTTGTTTGAAAGATGTGTCGGCGCTTGCCGAGGAAGTGGCAAGCGGGGCTAAGTGAATTCCGCGCGGGGAACGTGAATCGCACGATCTGAATCGCTGCTCTCGATCCGCATACGCGAGAGAGAACGAACACGCGCATACGCGACAACAGCGCACACGAGCGAATTTACATGGCGAGTTATTCGCGAGGGCGATCCTCCAGGCAATCTGAGTGAGTGACACTGCCAACTGTTACAACGTTCGTTTATATTGACGAAGTGGCGCCTCCTCCACGATCTCCTCGTCTTTTTCCTCTGTTTGTGAAAATCCATGTCGATCTCGTCAGCGTTTCTACTCGAGGCGTAGAAGCACACCGAGCGTTTCATCGCGACTGTTCTTCCTGCCACTGCCTTATTGCGGCGCGATCGACACCGCGCACGACATGCCACCGCAACGATTACGCGATTTATGCAATCGATAATATTCGCAGACGTTTGTTTCATCACCCAGTGGCGCGAGTACGTGCTCTGATCAATGCAATGCACCACATCCGCCAACTCGAACTCATTTCTCTCTTCGGCTCGTTCTCCGCGTAAATACATATATATACGAATTCATACCGATTTCTACAGTTAGTCGACTTTCATTGCATTTACCACAATACGTACAACTTGACTTTAATTCATAAATTTATTTTTTATTTCTATATCAGTAATTTCATATAGAAATAAAAAATATTTCGATATATATATATATATA